GAAGGTTTCCGCGCGGAAACCTTCTCTCCGTGGCAAAAGTCCCTCGGCAGCAAATCGTCCCTCGCGGCGGCATATTACTCGCGTCGCTCAGAGAAAAAATTACGCCCACGCCCAACAAGACTGCGAAGGAGGCTAGAAATTCCTGACAATTATTTTAAAAATAATATGACACGGACAACAATGGGTATATGAACATGTATTCAAGCAAATTCGCGTAAGGCCTCTGGACAAAAAAAAGCATAATCTTTTAGTGTTAGGGAACATCGAATCTAGCAAATCATCCTCAAATTGATCCTTCCAGTTCTTAAATTCTGCCGCCTGCTAATCCGAATAAATGTTACCAATGGCATTTTCAGGAACTGGTGTATTTCAGTGTTTTTGGTGTCGTGTATGGCGCCATATTGCTCTATGTTTTACTAATATTTATAAAAGCACAAGCAAACGTCAGGAAACTCCATGACATATACGTACATTGAATGTAAGATTGCAGGCGCTACTGCATTATACGTAAACGCATTATATTCTATCACTCTACTACAAAGCGAGGAAAATTCTGAATACAATATTGTACCAGCGAAAACCTATTACTATACATAGAATGTTCCGTTACATCAGAAAGAATCAAATTGTCTGTACTCTATAGAACTACTTAGTTATCATTAGATGTAAGACTATCTAGCCTAGTACAATATATACGTATTTGACAAGGGCGCACTGACCCTTTTTACGATAAATCGGATAATAAGCAGACTGAACTTCATATAATTCATCTTGACATTTGCATGTTCTCATTACTATTTTTGTGATCCGTCGGCATTCCTCTAAGTCTAAAACTATAATGATAACAATACTACTCGCACTACCACCATAAACTAGCCACCATCTATTGCTAAGATAATACAATATGATGTAGTATATAAAAGTATCTAACTGAAATGATAGATGAAAGTAATACTATGGGATAGTTAAATGAATCTTTGTTCTGCTGCGATTTTTCTCTCGTTTATGTTGTTGACACTCGTTGAGCTCTGTTTTTACCTTCTTTAAGACAATACGTGTTTGCCGAAACGCTAATTGTTACGAAACATTATAAAACTAGAAAGGCCAATATTTGCTTTGGAGCAAATACAGCGATGGGTTCACCACATTTTACCACATGGCAGGGAAAGAATGAGAAACACAAGGGAAAACAATGATTTACATTGATATAACTATAATATGAAGTAAAATACAACTAAAACAACAGTTGGATAGCTATTCCCTACTTTATTGGTTAGGATTTTTAATTGCATAATGCAAACTGTTGATTTTCAAAATAAAAAAAAACGTCCATGCCCGGCATTCCAATGCTGGAGCAGGAAAGCTTGAAATACCTACCAAAACACTTGAATACAGACATACTGTCAGTATGGAAATGCTTCTGTGCAGGTGTTAATCAAGTTAAATCCCAACAGCCAATCAGCAAGAAGTATAGAGGAAAGCTGCATGCCTATTGGTTGATGCCCTGCATTCCATTGTGATGACTCATGCCCAAACGTGGTAAACAAGGCAAACTAACACAGTAATACATTTGCTATAACACAGCCAAAAAACTCAGATAAAACCATTCTAAAAGCCTGTATCACAATAATTTAAAAAACGCCTAGGGGTATTTGCCCACTGTACCTCCATACCAAATTTCAGGACCTTAGGCCCTAAAATGAAGAAGCTGAATCCATTTAAAAAATGGCAGGAGAAGGAGAAGAAGGAGAAGAAACATCAGAAAAAGCAATATGGTTTCACCACACCACGAAGTGGTGTGGTGAACCCATAATTACAACTTGCAGGATGGAAAAAGACGGCGGTGAATCACGTAAAAACTTGAACAGAATGAAAGTAATACTGAATGAAAGTAATACAGAGCTGGTGTGTTACGCCGAAAGGCGGTTATACCGGCTATACAGATACAGATACAGAATAAAAAAGATCGAACAAAACACTTTTAAATAGTAATGTGAGGCATTTCTCCCATTCTCCATAACTAAGTTATAAAATTTGGAGTTTGGACATTGATGCAGTGATATGATAATCAAAACGAATACAAAGAATGGAAATATTCAGCTTAGCTAATGCTAATTTTTGCCGCAGATTTAGTACATGTGGGCGGTGGCAGTTTGGACCTCCGTTCCTTTGTCCGGTACGAAGTCGACGATGGCCACCTGGGATTCTTTCTCGATCTGGCCGCCGATTCAAGTAGTCAGGAACGTCAGGTGTGGGGTGTGTGGAGGGAAAACAAGACACGTGTCAGTACTTTCGTTCGTTCTATACGTCAATATATGTACACATCGCCATTCCCGATTTTATATAAGACAGGCAAACTAGTTAAGTTTATTTATTTATATCTTTATTACACGCACACTTGTAAAAGGCCGGCGCCGAGGGAAAACAGGAAACGACTTTTTTAGTAATCTCCAAGTAGATTCGGTGGGGCAAGGGGACTTTATGTTGGCCGGCTGTATCCAACATCGGGCGAACGTTGGATACAGGCGGCCAATGGATACAGGCAGCCAACATAAAGTCCCCTTGCCCCACCGAATCTACTTGGAGATTACTTTTTTTGCTCCCTGACCAAAATGAAATAAATTAACAGACAGGACATAACAAGAAATAATAATCAATACCAACAGAATAATAGAAGTAGTAATAACAATAATGATAGTATGTTTAAAGTTAAAACTCATATCCAATACAAAGTTAACATAACATTATCTTACCGGAGCGGCGGCGAGCAGAGCCGGGGGCGGGGCCGCAGCGGCGCCGGCTGCACCTCTGTGTGAAAAGGAAAGAATTCGCGTGAGTGAAGCAAAGGTAGGCAGACGATGAAGTCCACTTTGTCGTAGATTGTAGCTTATATAGTAATGATAGAAATTATCTTTTTAGATATATTACAAGAACGTTTCCATACTTCCAATCCCTGACTAATATTAAAAAATTCATATTTCTTATGCACTTTGCTAATCCTGTATTAAACAAACCCATATATGCATCTCAAATCATATTTTTAACATATATCACCAAGAAACGAGAAGTAGCCGAACCTCTGTATAAGAGTCATTTCACTTTATTCTCTGTTTTGTAGAACCGTTCTCTATTAAAGTCGTTTTCTTTATGAAAGCAAACTTGGCTAAAAATCTTATAGATTTCCCGTAGGACAAAACTTGTCTTGTGGAGACCAGTATTACAAACTATTATGGCACTATCAACTGCCAGAATGTAAACAAATATGGGTAACATCGGTGTTTCCAATTCTTAAACACATCGTAAGGCGTCATATTTTGGCACCTCCACTTCCTGAATGGCCCTTATTTGCAATTAAGTAGAATTGGTTCAACTTAGTGTGCAAGTAATGAAATAACCAGAGAAATGAACTTTTTGTATCGTCCTAATGTTACACAATGCTGCTTTAAGATAACTTACGCTCCACAGAAGCTCAGGAGCAGGAAGGCCAGCAGAGCGAGGGCAGCCAGCCCCACCAGACTGGCAATCAGGGGAATAGCCCAGGGAGGGAGTCCACCGGCGGCGGCTGAAATGGACGAAACATGTTTTTTTATTCACACTTCCTTTGAACAGGATTTGAAAAAAAATGCAATAGTGCTTATAAAGGCCCTCTCCTCGAGATGATGCATTTGACAAATATAAAACACAAGAACAGCAACCCATGAACTACAAACAGGAAATACAACTTGGACGACGAAAATAACGGAAACAAGACAAGACATGATGTAAATCGATTACGAAAATGTACTTGTGTAAGAAATAAAAGTGTAAACAATATCGTGCATATAACAAGAACAACACAATCAGCACGGTACAGACACCGGTCAGCTCCCGGTGGTATGGAAACCAGGCAAACTATGGGCCTGTACACTTCGAATGACTAGTCAGTCCCCCGTTTCATACACTGTGCAGCACATGGGGGTGGTGCCCATCTCCATTTCTGTAGCCTTGGGCCACACAGTTGTGCAAGCACTACAGCAGGGGGCTAGCCCACTGGTAGTGTTGTGTGTCTGACCTTCCCTACTCTCTTTCTCATAGATGCTGAGTGCTATGTAGAGAAATCAGCATGTACCATTTTTAAAGTCTTTGGTAAGAATGATCCGGCCGGGGTTTGAACTCACGACCTCCCGGTTACAAAGCGAGCACTCTACCTGATTGTTGAGCTATTACACCGGTTACAGGTGACCACTAAAATGACAAATCTCACCCTGACTTCCGGTAAGTCCGCAGACTGGGACCGGCTCCGTCCAGTTGGCGTTGGTCTGGCACCTGGTCGGGGTGGCGCCGTTCAGGATAAAGCCGTCGTCACAGAAGAAGTCCACGTAGCCGCCCTGGAAGAAATTGCCCCGCCTGGAACCGTTCCTCGGTGCGCCAGGATCGTCACAGAAAATACCTAGACACAGGGATTTAATAGATTTAAAAAAATTTGATCGTCTGTCCGATTTTGAATTTCAACCTTCATATCAACGCACACTATTTTGGACAATTCAAACAGTGGCGTGACTTGGATGTTGATTAACATTAACCTACAGTACCTCTACACAGCCATCCCGTAAGCCTGTTCATAGCAGCCGTTTTCGATGCTTGAGTCGTCACGAGCAGCACCTTGTCCGGATCCCTGGTGATGGTGTCCAGTGTTTGCCGGTTGACCATGTCCCCGATCCCCACGGCGAAAATCGTGATGCCCTGGTGCCGCGCCGCCGTGGAGGAGAAGTCCACCGCATCGTCTGTCCGGCCGTCCGTCACCACCACCATGCCGTCAGGCACGTTTGCACGGTTTCCATTATCTGCTGTAAAACTGATCTGTAGAAGAAACGGAGACGTTCAGATCTTTACATCCTTCATATCGATTAAAGGGCATCTGGATGATTGGGTAGTGAAACAAAAGCTCTGTATTAAAATGGAAATAAAAAAGCAGTAAAAACGATGCGATCCAGACCTCTTGGTATAGAGTCAGAGTCGCTAACCACTGGACTACGCACGCAACTTTAGACAAACCTTTGATAATAAAAGTATAGTTTTACAGTTTATCCGTTCGACTCACCATACTCTCTAGAGTGGCTGTCAAAACTATTTCATCTTGAGAATGTAGATAAACTATTATTTTGTTATGACCTGTTCTTAACCCAGTTGTATGTTCTTTTTTGGTTTAGTTTACATGCCTCCGGGCATGATTTTTAAAACAAAAGATTATCATTAGTTTTGAATAGAGATACAAATGTAGAAAGTTAGATTAGTAGTACGTAGAACTTCATGTTAGCATATGGGTTTATACCTCCTCAGTACATCCTTTACTCATTGGGCATCAGTTTGCAATTAGCCTTGGGCATCAATTTGCAATAAAGAGCTTCTATTTAAACATACCAGTCTGGCATAATCAATGGCACTCCCTACGAAGCTGCCGCCACTGGTCTGCCTCATGTTGCCGATGGCCGCCAGAACGCTCTGCTTGCTGGAGTATCTGTTTTTGTTAAAGCAAAAAAATAACTAAAAGCTCCACCCCCTTGTCAGTTCAGGTAGGACTCAAACGGAGTAAAGTAAACTTTGTAAATCAAGAGGGTCCGAAACGTTGGCGTTTAGTACATATATACATATAAATATATACAATAGTTTTCATTTTCATTTATTTCGAAACATTTTATCACATTTTGGCCAATTATAATAATTAATCTTCCAAGGCTCAAACACATACAGTTAAAATGACATAATTACATTGCACAGAAAGGTACAGTAAATACATTGAAAATAATATACTTACATCACAAAATCAACAATAAACACACAAATCAACATTAACAGTTCAAAGAGTAGAGGTCGAGGGTCTTGGTCTGTTTGGATAATAGCGGCTTTTAAATAGTACCTGTTGAGGTGGAACTCCTGTCGTGTGGTGTCGCTGAACTGCACCAGCCCGATGTTGGTGGCCTGCTGGTCGGTAATCGGCAGCCTGTCCACCAGGTCCCGCGCGAACGCCTTGTTCTGGGAGAACGCCGCTTCACGGGAACCGTCCACCAGGAGGAGGAGGTCCCAGCCACGCATGTTCAGGCCGGGACAGTGCTCTGCGTTACAACAAATGAACACATCATCGTGGATATATTAGAGCTAGAGTAAAACGATATATCCCACTTGCCTGATACTCTTAGTATAGGTGAAAAGGAAGTACATATGGAGACAACATATCTGTTTTACCTCTGTAACAAAATATTAGTACGGACATGTTTGGCAGGGTTGGCTACAGCCGAATGTTTCAAAATATTACAAACATCCGGGTGTGTACGGAGGTTGGGCCTAGACACCATGATCGAGGCATTGGATCGAGAAATTGACTCAAATTTAAGGTAACTTTGGTTTGATTCATATCGAAAGGTAGGCGTGGCCTAAATCTGGTTAACAGTTGGACTGTTATCGAACTTCAGCCAACCTTGGTTGGTTGGTGGTCGGAGGAAGGTTCTGAAAGTGTGACGGTGGCTGTTATTGGCTGTTATGTGACCTTATGTTAGTAATAGAACTGCTCTCACACTGCCGTGGTGAAAAATGAATTAAGATTATATTTCCTCCAACTGTACTGTCATACTTCATCAATGAAAACGTGAGTTTTATTTTGACTCGATTGGTCTACCGTATCCGTTTTGATACTGTAGGAAAGTTTGGATTATAATGAAAGATTATATGAGATGTTACAACGATACTCACCTATACATCGAAAGCTGGTTGCGTTGTTGACAAGTACAGGCGTACATGTCCTACCGCTCGGGCACGGGTTTGGACTGCATGGGTCACCCTCTAAAAAGCAAAAATGTACATCAATTTAGTCAAGTCTGTGCTGAATTTAGTCAATCGGTACCAATGGGTGCAGTTGTGACATAACGTCACATAAGCATAACGAATGAATACATTTTGTTGTACATATGTACGTACATCCCAACTGGCTTGAATACAGGTATACAAACAGAGGAATAGCTTTTACGAAATACACATGTATACATATACACGATCAAGCTAGGACTAGTCTATTGAGTAAATTCGACATGATGGTGAAAAGATACTTCCGATCCATCGGCAACTCTGTCTTCACTGTCCACCGCCACGAGACATTCCTCGCTACTACTTTACACTCACAGAAAATAATCCAAGCATAGATTATCATAAGTATCATGAATCTTACGTCTGCAGACAGGCAGAGAGTCCGACCAGGTGCCATTTGGACCATTCCGGTTGCAGGAGATGGAGCTCGGACCAAACAGCGTGTAGCCGTCGTTACAGCCGAAGTCCACCTGACCGGTTACGAAGGTGGTTCCCTGTGTGAATCCGTTCGATGGCGTCCCGGGATCGCTACACTCCGGCGCTAAAAAGTAGAACGGTTGAATGACTGAGTCGACTAGAGCAATTATTCGAAATACCTAGGCTTTGATCTTTTTATGTCAACTTTTGCACTTACACTCTTCCACCTTACTCCAGCCTGGTAACAAAAGTTGTTACACGTGTACAACAAACGGACCATAACCATCTCTCAGATCAGGGATATCTACCTGTGTTAAGCCAGTTCGCCATATTGTTGCCAGAAGTAATCGCCATGGCTGTAGTAGGAACGATGAAGACTCTGTCCTCTCTTCCCGCGATCTCTACCAGCTTGTTCCTGTCCACGTTAGGCCCGACTCCCACGGCAAACACGTGGATGCCCTTTGATTTAATATTTTGATTTGATTTATTCAAACATAATAAAAAGAAAATGATACATAAATAACAACTCCAAAAAACGTGCTGAGGGTGGAAATGAACACATGAACTTATACAATATAACAACATGAAATAAAATCATATCCCACTAAATAACGGTAAAACTGAGTTACAAACCTGTTTGCGAGCTGCCTCTGAAGCACTGACGACGTCATCTCTGAAGTTGGCGTCTGTCACAACGACAAGGGCGTCCGGTATGTTCGGACGGTTCCCATTCTCTTCACTAAAGCTGACCTATAGAAGCAATGAAGGAATCATCAGGTTGGTAAATGATTCAATAGCAAAGTTCATTTTCACAACCACTTGTTAAACAAGAGCCGACTGATTGAGTTCTCACAAGAACCAGGACACCCAGCTTCAGTTCACAGTGAACCTGTAACACATAGCCTTAGTGCACAGGGAACCAGGACACCCAGCTTTGTGCACAGAGAACCACTAAAGAGCTAAATAAATGAACTAAATACAGAACTATGCTATTCAGTCTTATCCTGAGATCTTAGACAAGGATTCTATATGTTCTATCTGGCTCAAAAGAACGAAAGACATGAGAGGAAATTCCTACCAACAGGTATTAACCTTCGAGGTTTACAGATCAACACAGGCAATTTCAATAATACAAGTGTGGCATACCGTTCGAGCGTTAGTAATGGCTTCTCCAAGCAAAGTGCCTCCACCCAATGGCATGATGCCCTGGATTTTCTCAAGGGTCGCGTTCTTGTTTTGATAGTTTTTCAGCAAGGACTCTTGTTTAGTTTGATCGCTGTACTGCGCCAGACCGATGTGCGTCTCGTTGTTACGCAGTGGCAACCTCTCGACGATTTTCTCGGTGACATTTCGAACTTTCAGGAAGCCTGGCATCCCCACGCTGTCCGAACTGTCCAGGAGAAACACCAGGTCCCAACCTGGCCCGTTCAGCCTGTCCAGGTTCAGACCGCTCTGCCCAGAACCAGTACCTACATGAACGGTAAAATTGATTCCTATCATTATCTCATCTTGTATTATGTATTATGTATCGCCTCTTATCTTATTGTATTCTGTAAGAAGGTAATGTACTTTTACACGTTGTATGTTTGTACGTTTGTCTGTATTCCTGTAGGTCGGCTGTTACCAGCATGAGCTGCCTTGGCTGACCCAGTGTAATGAGTCGTTTTCATTTTCAATAAATGCAAACTAAAATACTTTGACAAGATGCTAATGTTCTGTCATTAGTTTCTAAGCTGAGGCAAAACTGGAACACGTGTAATGTTAAGACAAGAAGCCACAAGAAGTCATGCAAACAAGCCAGTTCTAATTCATTTGTTTGCAAGTTTGGAAAATTCTACATTTGTATCATGTTTAAGAACAACACGAGTCTTGACACTTATCTAAGTGAAACAATTGGTATAATGGCATATGTTATGTTGTAACTAAAAGAAAACCATTTCCATTTTAGCTTCGAGGAATGACAATAGTTTGTGCTGCAAACAACGTAATACTATGCTGAACTGATAGTATATACGAAACTGAACATCACCTGCCATTCTGCTAAGATTCGCCCATTCTAATAAATTTCTGTTTTCAAACAACAAATGCCAACAATGATGTTTTAACAAATGCATGTATGCTGCCAGATGAACAACAATAAAGCAAGTAGTACCTGACTGTCTAGTTGTCAATCCTGGCATTGGAGTTGTCGCACGGGAGTCTGTAAAAACAAACAATATCCGGTAAAAAAAATCTTCAGGAAAAATAAAACCATACATGTGGTCCGTATACTTACTGTTGCTAAGTTCTTGTATATAACACGTATCATCCCGGTATCCGTTGGGGGAGAAGTTGGACATGAAAACAATTGTTTATTTACTTATTTATTTCATCTCAATTACTTTTCTGTACGTTTTCTGAACGTTTTCATTTGTTTGATTGTCTTGTAACTGACGAAGACAATTAAAAAATGCAGCTGATAAACGTACCACAGTTGCGTCCGAATAATCCAGGGGGACACTGACACCGGTATCCCGAGGGAGTCGGAGTGCATACCCCTCCATTCAAGCACGGATTGGGGGTGCACGCAGCTGGAAATGAATAGAAAACTTACATGTAATTAGGATGTATGAGGTCTTATTCTATATTAGGTCTTATTCTTATTCTTTTTTTGTACTTAATTGATTTGTTGTTGCCATACTTTGTACCATGTGCAATTGTCGTGCAATAAAGTTCTTCTATAATCAGGTCATGTCCGTAAAATGTACAACTACGTCAGTCAGAAAGGTACGACAGCCACACATTCACAAGGTTGAAATTCTACCTACAAAACGGGTTTTTCCTCATGTGTAGTCAGATTAGAATAAATCAGATTGCGATGTCTCACACGAAGTGACCGAGCTTGGAAACGCACAGTCTACCTTTGATATTCATGTATCCGTGGCGTAGCATTATTCGTTTTGAACAGAAAGATGGACTTTCCACGGCAATGACAGATTCAATTTGTTTGCGGTTATAGTTTAGTAGGGTAACTGCACGGGTTGCAAATTGAAGAAGTTTTTACTTACGTTTGCAGGTAGGGACAGCAGCACTCCACGAGCCGGTGGAACTGCTGAAGTTGCCAGTGCAGGTGAGGGGTGTTGTTCCGTCCAGGACGAAGTTGTCGTCGCAGCTGAAGTACATCCTCTCTCCCTGGTAGATCGTACCGCGCCGTATGCCGTTTGCCGGATTTGCGGGACGTGTGCACACGTCGGCTGCAATAAGTTGAGATAAGTTTCTTGCAAATTACTGTGTGAAGGCTAATTGCAAATAACAAGGATAAAAGAACATAGAAACAGAATACAAAATAACTTCAAAATCCACATAATAAAAGGTAATTGTCTAAAACTGTAGCTATGTAAGACTACTCATGTGATGTGAGATCAACCATGAAGCCATACATAATGTCAGCCTAATGTACTCTGTTGTGATCTAGTGTCTCTCCCCTGTGGTCTTCGTGGTGCAAGTTGTCAATGAGTTATGATGCGCATGCACAGCCCATGTGATTAAGATCAGTGGGATACTATCATAACGCTAGTTTACTGGACAGTAGGCTACTAATTACGTGTCACAACGTTTGACTTGATTCCAGTTGCAGAGAGAAAAGGACGAAACGACAAGGAAAGGACAAACATTCGGAAAGACATAATTATAATAACGGGATAAAAAAAGAGCTTGGTTATTTCACCTAGGCAAAACCACCTCCAGATGGCTTCGACCGTTTCCACGTGCTGGGTGTCATTCGTTACTATCCGAACCTTGTAGGGATCTACCGCCATGACCCTGAGAGCCTGGCTGTCCACCGCGTCGCCCGCCCCGACGGCGAAGGTGGTGATGCCCTGCTCACGCACGGCCTGGGACGCGTAGCTGATGTCATCAAACGTCATGCCGTCCGTCACCACGATGAGCGCATCGGGCCGATCCGGGCGGCCGCCGTTTGCGGTAGAGAAGCTAACCTGGTGGACAATGGTAAGGGTGTAAATAATAACACTGATAGTATGAAATAAACAAGACACCCACCAAAGTACTTGACAGTCACATTCTGACATTGTTGTATTTCCTACTGTAGTGTAAGTTGAGCTTGGACCTCTATGGCAGTGTTTACTGGTGATGACGTCACATTGACATCGGTATGGATTATCGTGTTACAACATGGTATTTATCTGCAAAATATTACAGACGTCCTGTCAACCAAACTGGTATTTTCGAGAAAGCCAAGAAGTCGTCAGCCACGCCCCTATACTAACCCCCCTTAAGAGAGGGATAGGTACCTCTTTTACGTAAGTAAGTGCACTCCCGGCAAAGGTACCACCGCTACGCCTTTGAGCCGTATTGATTGCTGTTATGACCGCAGACTTTGTGTTGTACGTATTGAGTTCAAAAATGGCCGCCGGGTTGTTGCTAAACTGGACCACGCCCACGCGAGTGTTACTGCCGTCGGTGAGGAGGCGGTCGGCGATGTCGCGGGTCAGGTTCTTGACTCTGCCGAACTTCACGCTGCTGGTGGAGTCCATCAGGAAGACGATGTCCCAACCCTCACGATCCAGTCGGTCACAGCTCTCAGCTAAGATGAAACAGGTTGTTGTTGTTAACCTGTTTTTTTCTAAATCGTTGAATGTTTTCCTATCGGCGTCGCAACCACCATGATAGTTGATTCAACCAGAATAGAGTAAAATTTATACATTTTTATGTGTTTATGATATCTGCGCGTGATGTCACAGAACTACTTACGTAAGTACACAAATTAAGATTTTCATGGCAACTTTCATATAGGATTATGAATCCAACGTGGAGAAAAATATTTAAGTTAAAGTCACGTGATGACAAAACTCTAGTTATGTATGACAGTGACTCTTGCACACAGACACCATTATTTTTTTTGCGTCATGCAGGATTGGAAACTTACTGTTCATACCAAGCCTTGCAAATCAATTTCCTTCAGCCGGTTTATTACTTAGCCGGTACACGACACTACCAAGACCCGCTGACGTCATGACATTCGCACTGCGCCAGCTTGCCTCTTTTGGAACCTCTCCCAGGCTTCTGGAAGCGGCTGTAATGAGTAGAAATTGATCAAATAGACAGATAACATGCCAGGAGAGTTGGTCCGCGAATGGATAGATAGGTAGGTCTCCTGGCATGTTACGTGTCTATTTGGCCAATTACCTTCTACTCTTCCCAGCCGCTTCCCGAAGCCTGGTACAGGCTACAAGGATTGTAGCTTGCACTGGCCTGCAGCTGGACACGATTTAGATGACTCATCAGGTGTGAGGTATGCAATCTACCTGAATCCGATTTGCAAGGCTTAGTATAAATAGGGCCTTATTTACCGTGCCTCTGGTCCCACAAGCACCATGCATACATGTAGTACCCTACATGAACCAACCAACCAACCAACGTCCTTGAGCCGACTATCATGCACCAGCTATATTATACCATCTTACGTCTGCATATCGGTTCAGGTTTGCTCCACGTGCGGTTTCCCTGGCAGGTAATACTGGCGGCACCAATCAGATCGTAACCCTGGTTACAGGTGAACGTAACCACGTCCCGGTAGGAGTTCGCTCCGACAGGACTCAATGCTCCGTTTACGGGAGCCGTCAGAACATTGCACTGCACAGCTAGAGAAATGACCTTAGAAGTCAATGGCATCTAGCACTATCAAGCTAACTAGTGATTAGCAACTAGCTATAGAGACTAGCGACTGTAACTAGCAAGAAGAGTCGGTTATTGTGAAATGGATGATAGTACTACACTGAATATCGCAAGGTGAGCTTATCTACTAAGGATGCACGAGTACATCTAAAAACAAACAAGGGAGATTTAAGGTCATCTTACCTCTACATGTTGGAACAGAGTTGCTCCATCTTCCGTTAGCCTGACACGTTGTAGTAGTTGCGCCGACCAATTCATATCCCGGGTCACAGGTGAACGTGACCACGGTCTGGTAGTCCCTCGTACCGGTAGGACTCAGCGCTCCGTTAGTTGGAGGATTCAACACCGGGCATTGTACAGCTGTACGAATGCACGTACGAATAGATACCAAAATAAAGTCCTATCCCACATATGACAACCCTTCTGAACAAGCAGGACACATAAGTCAATACTCCACGTCTTTTCAACCCTCTCTTTCTTACGTTTACAAAATCCGATATAGATAATAGAAATGTTGCTATAAATTGTAATAATTTTGTGTTTATATAGTACACGAACATGCAGCTCTTAACTAGTAGATTGTGCCACTTTTTATCATACCTTGCATACTTTGATTGTAAATAGTAGTTGTGGTGTGTTGTGAGTGCAATAACCCTGTTGATTTGTTGTGTAATTATATCTTTCAACCTTTATTTATATATTGTATAATTTTATAATTTATGTATTATCACCAAGTGTGATATGTGCGTATGAAATGTGAAATAAACAGTTTGCGATCGCAGACGTATGTGACCGGGCCCAAAATAATGTCTGTTGGCCGAATTCTGTTCAGATAGAGATATAGCAAACTATATACGTCTCATACGCTGCATTCATACATTCTAAAGTTAGTTTACCTTGGCATGTCGGAACAGGATGACTCCACGTTCCAGCAGCTTGGCACGTCGGAGTAGCTTGGCCGTTCAGTGTGTATCCCGAGATACAGGTGAAGGTGACCCCGTTCGGGTAGGAGACCGCTCCGGTAGGACTCACCGCTCCGTTAGCTGGGGCCGCCCGAGCCGGACATTGGACCGCTACAATGGGAAAATAATGACAGTAAATAGTAACTGGAGAACAAACTGTGGGCAAGGAAATTTCGGCACTTCGTTTTTTTTATGCAAACCACTAACATAAAGAGCCATAGTGCTCGCTCTCACCGCGTGGTCATACTAAATGGGATACCATTTTAAACAACAAGAAGCGAGACTTTAAAATATAGAATAAATAAAGTTCAATAGATAAAGAAAATGATGTATGACCGAACAGAGCTTTTGATAAGATTCTCTACTCCACGGTATAGCTGAATTAATTGCATTTGCCTAGAAATATTGATTAGCTCAAAGTTATCTCACGTGTGCATGTTGGAACAGTATCACTCCATGTTCCGTCAGCTCGGCACGTGGCAGAGGTAGCGCCGTTCAGTGTGTATCCCGGGTTGCATTCAAAGGTGACCGTGTCCTGGTAGGACCTAGCTCCGATAGGACGCAGGACTCCGAACGCTGGGGCCGTCAACGCCGGACATTGTCTGGCTGCAAAAGTTAAATAGTCTTGGTTAACTGGTTAACTTCGCATTACAGGCGCAATGAACCGGGATGCCGTCTGAATGAAGTATATTCCTGGATATTTAGTGATGTGGATTCTAGAAATTTTCGCTGCATTTCGAATATTTGCAATTTCCATGTGAACTAGTTGTGTGAACTCGAAGTGGGAAAATATCGAAGGGTGGTGTGGTTTGAGTAGAACCTCATTCTGAGCATTCCAACGACCTTCGAAACATCCTGAGGCGCGATATTGCCGATTCTTCATTCCACTTGGTGCTGCTTAACTCATGCTGATCAGGAATAAGTGTGAAGAGGCCTGTGGGGGTCTACATATTGTTACATGGAGCGAAAAAAATGCCTACATGATGCGTACATGTGGTGCCTCTAGGTGTCAAGAAAATGGTGTATTTTTTTATCAGCATCTATTTATGCTTAGATGTATGTTTCATATTGTATTGTATAGTATTGTATTGCATATATTAATTAGATGAAAGACGTCTTACGTGTGCATGTTGGAACAGGATGACTCCACGTTCCGTCAGCTTGGCACGTCGGAGTAGCTTGACCGTTCAGTGTGTATCCCGTGTTACAGCTGAAGGTGACCCCGGCCGGGTAGAAGACCATCCCGGTAGGAGTCACCGCTCCGTTAGCTGGGGCCGCCCGACTCGGACATTGCACGCCTATAATGGTCATTTTATTAATAATGGATTTATTTTGTACTGAAGATGCGCAAAATCTAGACATTCTGTGTACCGTCTACCGTCGTTTCAATATTGCGAATTAATGCATTTACCTTCTAATACCCTCTTTTCTATACGGTGAGTCTGTCTAAACTACTGAAGTTCAATGTTAGCATACATGTAGGTGGGCTTGAAAATCATCTTACGATTGCACGTTGGTACAGGATCACTCCATGTTCCGTCAGCTTGGCAGGTTGCAGATGCAGCGCCGGTCCGTACGTATCCCGAGTTACAGGTGAAGGTGACCGAGTTTGGGGAAAAGACCGCTCCGGTAGGACTCACCGCTCCGTTTGCTGGGGCCGCCCGAGCCGAACATTGTACGCCTGAAATTATCAATAACCTTTTATGATTAACGGATCTAATGTTATGTTTGAACGAAAAGTTCTAACACGAGGCGAGTAGACATTCTGTATATCTGTCCACCATCTTTTCAATATTGCGAAATAACGCACCATATATACCATAGTTTGAAGGTACGTTTCTAATCTATATGTTCAACGCTAGCATACATTTCAACGGGAACGTCGCCTTACGTGTGCATGTTGGAACAGGATGACTCCATGTTCCGTCAGCTTGGCAGGTTGGAGTAGCAACGCCGTTGATTGCGTATCCCGAGTTACAGGTGAAGGTGACCCCGGTCGGGTAGGAGACCGCTCCGGTAGGACTCACCTGTCCGTTAGCTGGGGCCGTCCGGGCCGGACATTGTACGACTGAAATTATCAATATAGTATTATTTAAGAAATATGTTTTTGAACTGATGATGCAAAAAATACGCCTCTTAATCTATATCTATTTGATAATACATAAAGGTCGTTCGATTTCCTTCTCATACTCTTCACACTATGAGGTAGAATGAGCAGAATGTCGTGATTTGCGAGCCGAGAGTTCTAGTTGATTATTTGAAGCGCATTTTAGAAAATTTCACCACATTTACACCTAAAATGTGTGCCCATTCTTGTTGCCGGCCCGAATGTCTTGGTCATGGTCAGATCTTTTTGACGTGAATTCGAATGGAAATGCGTAACTGCAGTATGACAGAATATCCCCACGTCATCCCGCGGCTTTCGAAACGTTCTGATCTGAACGCCCCACCTCTGCTGTATTTCTATACTCGTGCCTCCGTCAAAATCAGCGGTTTTGCCACCAGAATTTGGGGTCGCGTTTTCGGCAGTTAAAAACTCTTACAATGGGCCAAAGAAAAGTATTGTGCTTTGTTGAAAGAGCCATATACACAGAGTAGAATTTTTTAGGAGGGGTCAGTGGAAATTTCAGTGAGAGCAAAACGGTGTTCGCTCAATTGCGGAAGCGGGAAGCACCGCATAACACTTCTGTTGGTGGACAGGAGTTCCCAATTGCTGACAAATAGCCGATACACTCACGTGTAAAGCAGGTGTACGTACATATCTGTGATAAGACTTCTGCCCGATTCTGGAAGGAGATATTCATTGTAACTACATACATGTACATGGTTTCCCGAATGCGGTGCGATATCGCCAATTCAGCCTGGTTCTGTTGGACTCCTTCTAATTTGCAAGACGCGTAAAGGGTCACATATCAATATTGGATAATTTATATGAATTCGAATGAATGTGACGTGTTCTTACGTGTGCATGTTGGATCAGCATGACTCCACGTTGTGTCAGCTTGGCAGGTCTGAGCAGCAACGCCGTTCAGTCGGTAGCCGGTGTTACAGGTGAAGGTGACCCCGTTCGGGTAGGAGACCGCTCCGGTAGGACTCACCGCTCCGTTAGCTGGGGCCGTCCGGGCCGAACATGTTCTGGCTGAAATGGAAAGTGAACAAAAAATCTTCTGCCAAGCCTGCATATAAAATCATAACATCTTAAACATGCAAGTCTACACACACACACACACACACATGCACACACACACACACACACACACACACACACACACACACACACACACACACACACACACACACACACACATGTAGACACACACTCACACACACAGATATATATATACACATACATATACACAAACTACCAAAATGTTTATTCGTTATTAGACGTCTGGTTCCTATTTTTTCATCCTTTCTACTTATGTCAAATTGTATAAATTACGTTTTCTTATTTTATAAATTTTTAGATGTCAACTTACCTTGGCATGTTGGAACAGGACTACTCCATGTTCCGTCAGCTTGGCACGTCGGAGTAGCAGCGCCGTTCAGTTGATATCCTGTGTTACAGGTGAAGGTGGCCGAGTTCGGGTAGGAGACCGCTCCGGTAGGACTCACCGCTCCGTTAGCTGGGGCCGTCCGAGCCGGACATTGTACAACTGAAATAGTCATAACCTTTTTTTTCCAGAGGTCTATTTTTGTACTGAATATGCCTAACGCGACGCTCGATAACAGACATTCTGTATCTTTTCAATATTGTGAAATGTATACCTCCTAATAATATCTTTACAAAATGGTGGGTGTGTTTACAATAGACTTCAATGTTCAATGCTGTATACATGTATCATATGTGTATATCAACTCGAAAGTCATTTTACGTGTGCATGTCGGAACAGGATGACTCCAAGTTCCGTCAGCTTGGCACGTCGGAGTAGCTTGGCCGTTCAGTGTGTATCCCGAGTTACAGGTGAAGGTGACCGAGTTCGGGTAGGAGACCGCTCCGGTAGGAGTCACCACTCCGTTAGCTGGGGCCGTCCGAGCATTGAACTCTGCTAGGATAATATATACATCTGGACGAGCACTGCGCATTGTACCGCTGTAATGGGAAGTGAACAAAAATTCTCTGTCAAGACAAAATAGTGCAGTGTGGGATATGTACATCTACGTAAGGGACATTTATAGGCTACTGAACCCTGCACAACAGGCCATTCTGCGAACTACACATACCAAAGTATTGCTTACTATTTTGCAATCTAATCTATTTATGTCTAAGTGTATGAATTACTTTTTTTGTAAATATCCATTTGTTAGAAGTCAGCTTACGATCGCATCTTACGATCGCAGCTTGGAACAGGACTACTCCAGGTTCTGTCAGTTCGGCACTTAGCACGTAGTACCGGTAGTGCCCGACGAAATACTTACTGAATGTGGTAGCATCATCAACTTGCAAGTGGTCTTACCTTGGCATGTTGGAACAGGATTACTCCACGTTCCAGCAGCTTGGCACGTCGGAGTAGCTTGGCCGTTCAGTGTGTATCCCGTGTTACAGCTGAAGGTGACCGAGTTCGGGTAGGAGACCGCTCCGGTAGGACTCACCGCTCCGTTAGCTGGAGCATTTCTACCCGCACATTGTACCGCTGTAATGGGAAGTAAAAATTAGGCTCATTCTACTTCACAATCTCATATAGGCGTCTTGCACAGTGGGATATGATACATCTAGATGAGTAATCAACAACAAAGGGCCCTTTGGGTACTGTATACTGGTACCAATATATCTAGTACGATGGTCATTAGTAGACGTTTGCGAATGTTTTAACGTTCAAAGTGGCCTCACTTCTCATGTTTACACCGCTATATAGCATGCATATAGTATAGGTGTGTAAAGGCTAATTGATTGCGTTGTTTTGTGAATATTGATGAGTCAAAAGTCATCTTACGTGTGCATGTCGGAACGGGATTACTCCATGTTCCGCCAGCTTGGCAGGTCGTACTAGCAGCGCCGCTCAGTTGGTATCCCGCGTTACAGGTGGTCGTGACCACGGTCCGGATGGCGGTATCTGTGGTACTGAGCGCTCCGTTAGCCGGGGCCGTCAGAGGCGGACACTGGATCGCTGAAATGAAAAGTAGAGAAATGAACATCTTGTCAAATCTTAAGACCAAATCAAATCTGTTCTATGTGAGTCTATTTGATATCTAGGTCATATATCAATATTGGTAGAAAGTCACGTCGACATAGTTGCATTCTATCTTTCATCAGCCTGGCAGTGCCTGAGCAGTGCCACATCTAGGAAAGTGTATGCCCGATAGGACATAGACTAGTGAGTGCAAGAAATTATCATTATATTCATTTGCAAATCCTGTGTGGTACGTCATCAGTGATTTTGAATGGAAGGTATGGGCAGGACGCCTACAGGAACTGTTATAGGCGTAGTACTCACCGTTACAAATGTTCTCCCTTATAGGTGCGGCGCGCGCGTCTTGCTCGAGGAAATCGTGGTCCGTCAGTCTGAACACCCTGTTAGGATCACCAGCAATAGTCTCTAGTGTAGCTTGACTAATGTCGCTTTCCTCGCCAACGCCCACAACAAACACGGTGATGCCCATGTCGCGTACGAGCTGTGCCGGGCCGCTGACGGAGTCCTCAGATTCATCGTCGGTCAGTACGATCAAAAAGTCCGGAGTACTGCTCCGCCGGCCGTTTGCAGGGAGGAACGAATTGTTGCGCACGTGATCGAGACCAAGTCCAGTGAAGGTATGCCCTCTGTCGTAGGGAATGTTGCGGATCTCAGTTAAAAGCTCAACTCTCCCGTACTTTTCATTGAGCCTAACCCGAGTAACCTGCTCGTCCTCGTTGCTGTACGTCACAACACCGACCCTTGTGTCGTCTTCTCCCAATGTAAAATAGTTGACTACATTCTGGACAAACGTCTTTGCATCCTCGAAACCGCTTGTTCTGAAACTCTCCGAGCTGTCTACGAGGAAGACCAGGTCTACTGGATAAGGGCACAGGGTGGCTGAAAAGATACGTTTGATAAAAATGTATGTTTGATATAGTTGACATGACACAAATTGAACAGTGATAACTTCATGGTTTGAATCAATTGTAGCTAGTTATCAACATTGCAAGAGTATCAACATTGCATGGTCAAAAAGAGCATTTACATTGAATTGTCAAAGAAGAGCATTTATATAAAATGGTCAAAAAAAGAGCATTTACATAGAATGGTAAAAAAGGAAGCATTTACGTTGAATGGTCAAAAAGAGAATTTACATTGAATGATCAAAGAAGAGCATTAAGGCCATGTTGATTTGATTATATGAAAAAAAAAACTTTATTTATTGCATGTTCATTCCCCGGGGGGATAAATGCACAGATGTACAGAGTACAATGTACTAGAGAGTACTACAACAATAGTAATATAGAAAGGCTAACATCAGGTCTAAGGTATACAATGCTAAAAAAAAAAAAGAAATATACATATATAAAGTGATACAGAACTAAGGTCTAATGGCTTCTTCTCTCTTTTTGAAACATTTTGAAATATACTTACATACTTCATTGATGACGTCTATATTCGTACATGATATGATATATTTAAAAGTGTCTTCCTTTGATAATGTTTTACATTTTTTGTCGAACTTAATTGAACTGAACAGTGATTTACGTTCGTTATCATATAATATACAGTCAAGCATAAAATGCGATTCATCTTCAATACAAGAATTATTACAGAATTTACATAGTCTATCTTGTAACGGTGTACGGCTATGCCTGCCAGATTCTATGTGTAGAGGGTGGTCGCTAATACGGAGTTTACACATAGCTCTGCGGTTTTTAAAATTTGGAATGTCTAAATATGGTTCTCTGTCGTATAGTTCTTTGAATGTTTTATGTGTTCTCAGTTTGTTGCCTTGATTTTCTCTTTGTCCTGTGCTTGTAGTGCTGAGTTGAATTTCTGGATGAATATATCTTTTAATCTTTGTCTTAGTTCATGCAGATGGAATGGTTTGTTAATATACTCGTGTGTATATAAGCAGGCATAGCCGGACTCCTCTAAAATTGTCTTCATGTAATTATGCCCCAACACATTCAGCTAATATACGCCTCGGCAAGACCTGATATGTTATTTCTGGCCTTAAGTTGACGTATAACTCCTCTCTTTTATTGCAGTGGACTTGATTTTGAAGCTACGGAGCTTGTACTTGAAGACCTTCTGGGGCTGTGTAGAGTTGAGTTTGGCGCTCCTCTCTCTAGCCGAGGTCGGGGTCATGCTGTACACCTTGTATATTATCCTCGAGTTCCAGTCAAAGCAAGGGACAAACACGGGTAAGTCATGTACAATCTCGTTGTGCAACTGTTATGTCACATATAAGACCTTAGTAGCATGTTAGAGTGAATGATTTACCCTACAAAATAATTGGTAATGCGTATTTCT